GAATACAGGATTATACTTCCACATTCCTTTCTCAAAATCCTTTTCCTCCAACTTTCTTCCAAGATCGATAAATCATCCAGTTTCTTTCGGCGAAAACAAAGCGAAGAAAAAAGCGTTATAACTGTACGTATATAAAAATTAACGAGGCTGTCTTCCAACGAATAACTAATGTTCCCGTAAAACCGCGAGGTTTCGCCGCGACCTCGCCGGAGCGGAATGCGCGTAACTCGCGCGACCGTGGAACCGTTACAGGCCGCTCGGGTTACGAATTAAAAGCGAATTAAACGGAACATTATTGCCAGCAGGTTTTTTTTTTTTTTTTTGGTTTCTTCGTATGAAATTTCGACTCGAGAGTACACGCCTTTTTTTTATCATATTACATCCCAGCCCCAGAGATTTATATCGTGGCGAATTTAACAGGGAGAGAGGGAGACAAGAGTAACAAGCGCAATTTATCAGAAGATGAAGATTTAGAGCAAACCTCTCCTCTTCCATACTGATCACGATCGGTGGTAATGGCGGAACAGGTTCGCCGGATTAATTTCGGACGGGCCCGCTCGCTGGTTATTTTCACGTTCCTGGAAGGTAATTGCAACGTGTCTCGCGGAATTTTGAAGGATGGAAGAATTTTCAATCTTCTTGTTGCTGCTCGAGGAGGGGGGAGAGCAAAATTTTAAAACCGTGGCGCACGAAATGTATTCTAAGAGGAATTATATCCCTTCGAGATAAACTTTTCGTTTCGAATTATTCGAATTGAAAAAAAAAAATAAATAAATAAAAGGCTAGCTTCGATCCCGAGGAACAGTTAGAAAACCCGAAATTTCTCTTCGTGTTTAATCCTTCGCGAATGCAAACATGAATATTTAAAGCTGATTAAATTCACCGTGTTTTTATTCGCCACGACGGACGAATTTAGAGCATCCCTCTTGGCGAATGACATAATTGGAGGACACGCAGGTGGAACAGGTTCCACTTTACGAAGAAATTGTATATATATATATATATATATTTATACGCAAACAGGTGAACAGGTTGTTGGTTTCGGGATAATTGGCGCACGCGACTTGGGCATTATATACGCATCGTTTGTAAGAACCAAGATAACACGGATAGTGTTATTAAAAAAAGATACGTTTTTCGTTCCCACCACGAGTTGATCCCTGAGAATCAACAGTTATCGTGGCACGAATGAAAGGCTCGATTAAAACGCCGTTCCAATTATGTGCGGGTATGCAAATGAAACAGATGCTCGTAAAACCTACTCGCGAAAAATTATTGCAACGGATGACGCATCGAAGTAGTTGACCTTTGTCACACACACACACACATATATAGTATAGGTGATGTAGAACAAAGTTTATACGATTATGCAAATTTGTGTGCAGGCAGGAGTAATATCGATACGATGATGTGTTATGGAAATGATCGTTTGGAATGTTTGGAAGCCACGTGTCGAGAGGTTTTTGGTACAATGGGACACGGATCGAGCCGCGAGAATTCCCATGCCCTATTCAAAGCGTTGATTGACGTATACTAAAGCTGTTCACAAAAGAAACTATACTTTAGAGGAACTTCAGCCGCGAGACTTTGGAAAAGAATTAGCTAGAACCTTAGATTCTTAACGTTACCAAATTTTTCTTCCTCCATTCTCTATACATTTGTCTCTCTTCCAAATAATCAATTGATCCAAAAATCCTAACACTTTTTCATGACGAATTCCTCGCCACTCATATTTTCTCCCGAAAGAGAAAACATCCCCAAATAACATTCCAAAATATTCCGTCGCGATATCAGAATTGCATCACGAAGATTCGAAAAAGTGTACGTTCGAAGTGTTGTGTATACAGAAGAGAAGAGGAACGAGCAGAGGAATCGAATCGAACTACCGATACGCGTATCCAACGCATTCGGATATCAAAACGGCCGTGTCCCCTTTCTTTATTTCGCCGCCGCTGGTTGTCACACGCGGCCGTTCCTTTATCGTATTCACGTTTCGGCTAACTTTATATCCCGGTATTCTTCGAAACCGTGCCACGATAACAACCGTCCCCCTTTTTCCTCGGTTTGGGGGGGGGGGGAAGAGGGGTAGATATCGGGGGAATTTATTTCTCCGCCTCGGTTCTTGCGCGAAAAATGGCCGGGAAGAGTTTCGAGAATGGAGATAATGACGACCAGGCAAAAGGCGAAAACCAATTTCGATGGATATACGCACATATATATATATACACCGTTCGAGAATGGATTCGTCGTTTGTTCGGCTCGAGAGAATGGAAAGGGAATTTTGATGCGGTGCGAAGAATTAAAAGTGTGTGTACAGAGAGGAGGAGGGACGGATATTAAGGTTGAAGGGTTGATCTCGAGAGGAACGGGAGGGGGGAAAGATATTACAGTGGAAGCAGCGCGGATAATTACGACGAGCCTCCGTTGGATGGAAGACGGATGCGTATTAAATGATTCTTTTTCGCTGCAATTCGGATTCCTTTTGGACTCCGTGAGTAAATTTATTATACGAGCTTTAACCCCCCTTTGCGCTCGCGTGTCGTCGTATAATCCCACATTTTATTATTACACATATATATTTACATTTGTAAATTTTAATTTTGGTAATTTTTTTTTTAAAGTAAATACGAGTGGAAAGGGTTAAAATCGGGGGGGGGGGGGGGATCGTAGCGTGTTATTGGCCGATTTGAACGTAGATATAAAAGTGATCGTTCCAATTTGAAAATGTATATTATTATATATTATTTGTGTCGAATAAATTTTTTTTATAAATGGAAAAACTTGTTTCCTTTTTAATCCGATATTTAATTGGAGGAAGATCGAATCTATCTTTCGAACAGAGCAAACAAGGACGAGTCGCGAACAGGAAATAATCAGCAGAAGTTCTACAAACCGTCTGACATGTACTACTAATTAATTATTCATCGTCTTAAATTTTCCCACGAAACAAAACATTAAATATACGCATTATTCGAGATACAAGATACTCATTGAACAGATAAGATCAACTCGTGTATCATATACTCTCTATACTAAATTTTAAACAAGAAATTTAAAAGTAATTTTCAATCAAAGCGTTTATTTTTACATCTGATTTTCCTTTTTTTTTTTTTTTTATTACTATATAATCCCATAAATTCCTGTTTAAAATTTTTCCAAAAATATGGATCGTCAACACGTTAAAAAATATTTTCCAAACGAAGAATCAAGATGGCGGTTCAGAGGCCGCATAATACACGCGAAATCCAGCCTCGGCCAGGGAGGGGGTTCGATAATAAATATGCAAAAAGGAGGAGCATCGATGCCGTAAATAAAAACGGCTGGTTTGCGTGCTGCGATCTCCAGCAGAAGAAGAAGAAGAAGAAAAAGAAAAAAAGAGGAGGGCGTACAAAGCAGAAAAGAAACGAGGGAACGAACGAAAGAAACGAGCGGGCAACGATACGCAACCGACTTGTCCCGGTAATCTCTTGATTTAGTTCGACTTAGGGACACGGTACGTGTTCCCCTGGCCACTTTGTCGGCTACCTTCGCCAACCCTGGCGATGAAGATACGGGAAACGAGCGGGAGAGTTGGTATCTCGAGCGTGAAATCATCGAACCTCGCGATATCTTTGCCGACGTCTCTATTTTTGGAAGCCTCTTCCAACTGGATGCCGTGAATTTCGAAGCGTCCATTTTGTTCGGTCGGTTGGTTGTTTCGAAATTTTTGTGGTCGAGAAAATTCGAGAGAATAGAAAGAATCAATTGGAGAATCGATACACTTGCAAGTATGCGAACTTTGTATCATCAAAACTCTGTCTTTTACGTTATTTCGTTTCAACCTCGAACTTTGACCGAAAAGAATCGATGTTTGTAGCAACGCAAAGAGCGACGATCGATCGATGGATCGTTCATCCAGCCTCCAGAGATTATTAAACGTTGTTACTCACCTGGACTCGTTGCCTGTGACGATCCTGCTTCCGTTGCCGCCTCTCAAGTTCCTCTTTTCTCTCGATCAGCGACCTTATCTCGACCGCAGCCACGGGGGCGGTGCTATCGTCAGGTACGTCTGTGCACAAGGGTAATCTCCTCATGGTGGATACAGGCTCGTCCTCACCCTCGCTGTAACTTTCTACCAGAAGCTCGGAGTCGCTCTGAAAACGAATCAAGAATTCTCTTTGAATTCATTACCGAGGAACGAGTATGCGGGGGGAAAAAACGAGGAGCTGGAACTAATTTTCCTCTGGATATTACTTTTCCCAACCAATTTTCCCTTTATTTTTATTGTCATTGACTTTTTATGCTATTGTACTTTTGCGAGTGCCCTTTTTTATTCGATTATCTCATTAAAGATGATAGAGGTTAAATTCGTATCTATAAAATGTATACGTTTTATATTGAAACGCGAATTTTGTATTTCTAATAATGAAAAATGATAAATGGAATAAAACAATATTGTTTCTAAAGGTATCGTTTCAAAAGGTATTCCAAGCATCGACTGCCAATATCGACGATCAATAACAAGAGTCAATCTTCCCAAAATCTACTGTAACGATATTGCCAAACAATCACTCCCTTTGCTTCAACTTTCACTCTCCTCCTTTCAATTTCCCTAAACGACACGTTAATCCCCTTCCATCAAAATTCCATCTGCCCCCAAATGCAAACGCGAATGAATCAATGAATAATTCACAAAGGGGAAGGAATAAGGATCGTTGCCAAGGATCGTTCTTAAATAAAATTTTTTATTCGCCCAATGACGAGCGACGATGAGCTAGAGAGTTGCTAACAAAAAATGTTAACTCGTTTTATTTAATGAGAAAATGGAAAATACTTGCGTTAAATTACACGTTTCAAGAAACGAAATAATTTAACACGTATGGAGATATATAGAATATTTTTAGAAATATAATAAAAAAAATTCTTAATCTCTGCCATATTTCTACGTTAATGGATATTTTTAAAGATTACGTGTTCAATTATATCAATTGATCTATAGGCATATAATTTTAATAACTTACAACGACATTTATTAATTTATACTTCACGAAAGAGTTATTTACCTGTTCCGGTGGTGAACTAGGCGTACTTGTGCTCGAAGCCTCTACCACAGAAACGTACTCGCTTACGCCAGTTTCGCTCTTTTGCAACTTCAATACCGGTGTCTCGAGGCCGCACAGGAACACTTGGCCGAAGAACAGAATCTTGTTTATCCTGAGACACACTTGAGCGACTTCCTGGAATACAACATGAGCCAGAGCTTAGCTGGGATGGAAGAAGAGAATGCAGAACGCGAGTCTGTTTTGAAATTTCAATCACGAGCCGAATGAGCTTTGTTCAAAGTTTGCGATAAATAAGTTTTCGAAGGCGATACGCGTATTTCTTGGATACAGTTTGAAGCGAATTTCTAGATTTACTCTACTAACTTTGTTCTCTGATAAAATTTCACTTTGCTCCAAGTGGATAGAATAATGAATTAATAAATAATAAATAATATATTCTTTTTTTTTTAAATATATATCGAGTCATTCTAAATTTTTTACTAAATTAAACGAAGAAAGAATCTCGTCTTTTTTTTTTATATTTGTATATTTACCATATCTTCGTTCTTCTCGGCGTAACAAGGATCTTGAGGATTTGACATCAACGGAGTGAATCCTGCCAAAGTCATGTCTTCCGGCAGTTTTACCAATTCAAGTTCTAAAACAAATAATTGAACTTTTAGATAAAAATTGTAAATTTGCAATCGACAGTGACTAAAAATAAAATCTTGTAAATGAATTTCCTCTATTAAGAATAATTCAATCTATCCTATTGCAGAAATTCAAAATTACAAAATTGACATATGCATAAGCATATATTCGCCGCATGGGGATACCGTTTTTCACAACATATATTAAAATACGTGAATGATATCTTAACTAGATATTCACTGTACTTTTAAAATTAAGAAGAGAATTCTAAGAAAAGACTTCTAAGAAAATGAAATACACGAAAAGACGTTGACTATTTGTTCTGATCTCGAAAGAATTTCAAATAACATCGTTTATGTGTTATTTCTTAATGCTTTTGCTATTTTATAAAAGCTATTTATAGATTAATTTTATTGGATGTCCAATAAATTGCGATATTGAATTCAACTCTTATCCATATGTCAAATACATGCACATCTAACCTCAAATATTCCATATAAATCTTACATTCGATTTTTTTAAATCATTGGATAACCTATACCGAATATTAAACAAGCAAATTTAAAATTATTATAACAATAAATAAAATCAAAAGTATTCATAAAGTAAAAGTACTCTTGAAGTACTCTTAAAATCACGTATGCGTGCACTTAGTTGAAGAGGTTAAGATTTTACACGTATCATTATTTGAAAAAAAATTCGAAATAATTTAGCACAAGCACAACGATAAATAAAACTAATTTACGATAAATATAAAACGCTACTTTCTTATCTCGCAAAATTCATCCTTATCTTCGATCTCTTCGAAACATCACAAATAACATGTATATATATGTAATAACCTCGCATTAACTCTCATCATTCGAATGTCCAATAATCGCCGTTTTACGTACCATTAAAAAAAAATCACGCACAAACAACCACGATGGTCACGTTCCTTCCACTTCCAATCAAAAATATTTCGCTTCGAAAACTCGAAAATAGAAAACTCAGATACAGTTGAAACGCTACGCATACCCCATCTATGAGCATTACGATTATCCTACGTAACCCCACCACTAAAATAGCCTGCGTACGCACCGTTGCACGAAAACTTGTTATATAAATATATCGAAATAAATAGTTGCGCGCGCAGTTATATCGCAACGCACGGTTTCCGAAAATTATTCCGCTGGATCGAAGCGACAGATAATGACGAACGGCAGCCTGTTATCATGCAAATATCGAGCGGGTGCATCGTCGATAAACATTGAGCAACAAGTACCGGGGAGTGGCGGGGCGTTTACGGTTGGTCCTCGGATGAACGGGTCTTAAGAATATTCAACCTGTCGGATGACACGGTCTCGCGTACAGATCGATGCGCTTCTTCCACGTTACATTGTAGCGCGCATACCTCGCGTCATTGATCGCCGATAATGGAACGATTTAACGACGGGAGAAGAACGTGCCTCGGGACTGTCCGGAACACGGGTACGTTTGTGTAATCGTTTGTGTATGTAGGAACAAGATGGTTACTTTGAAGGTATGGCTTTTTCGTTGCGTGGCATGCCATGGAAATTATGATAGTCCTTGTACATAACACGGTTAAAAAGAATGGAGGAGGCTCGAGCGTAGGACGGGCAAAAGCAGCAGGCACCCTGTCCTTCTATATAAGGTGTCTCACGAATTTTCAAACGTTTCTTATCACATCGATACACACATAAATCCCCATTTTAGATTCTCAGATTCTGAAATGCCTGATTAATAATATTCTCGTAACAAAGCGAATCCCTAACTCTACTTAGAATCAACTTCGATAACGAAATTCCAATTTCCCGTAATCCGTGTTCTCGTAATCCGAAACCTTGCTCCCTAACAATTTCGTTATATGTTCCGTTTCGATATACACCGTTTCGATCCCCTCGTATCCCAATATCCCCCGAAAACCATTACAACATTGGCCAAAATCTGATCCAATTCGCTTCCGTCATCAGATATCCATATATTCACCCCGCATTCGACACCGTAAACGGGTGGTAACAATTTCGAATGGAACGTGGCCACGGCTTCGAGATCCCCGCCATTAATATTCGCCCGAGCGCCGGTTCGAATCGCTTTACACGGTCGGGCCGCGTTTATCGCGAATATTACACGAAGTTCATGGTCAGTGTGGCCAGGGAACTCGCGCGGAACGTGAGGAGGATCGAGTTAGGAGGGATCAGCGTGGCGGCATTCGCAATCGATCATCCGGAGGAGGACCTCTCGCGCGCGAGAATAGATTACGGTGTGCCTCGTACACGCGGGATGGTGTGCGCGGAGAAGGAAATATAGAAACCTAATCGCGCACGCGAAATAGAGAGCGTGCTCGCCTTGTTAATGCGAATTCCGAATAGGTGTCGTGGCACTCGCGATCACGCGAAACCCGTATCACTCCTCCTCCTCGGTGCTAACGAACCGAACGTATACAGGGTGTCGCCACAGTTGAACCACAAGTTTATCCTAGAGAGAATGAGAAAAAAGTTTGAGAAGAACCGATATCGTTGGAATTTGAGAAAAAAATTAAATATCAAGCAAATGGATGGTAATGGATTTATGTAATACCATGTCTGCATATACGATTGCGCAAAGATATTATTATTTAATATTTCATCGTAAAGAACCCGGTGAAGAAGAATCGATGATAATTCGTTCTTATCTTCTTCGTGTTTATCACATTCTGAGGAGAGGATTCGAGGCATCGAGGATCGTCCGACACGGGAGAATATAAAAGCGGAGAAGGAAGATAAAAAAGAGAGTCGTGGAACAAGGTGAAAAAAGAAGAGACAGAGAGGAAGAGAGAGAGAGAGAAACATCTTGGACGATCCTCACAATAACATTCTTTCTCAGGTCTGTTCGCAACGCGCCCGCCCCATACGCACTCGCCCCATCCTCTCCCCTCCCCCCTCCTCTCTCTCTATCTCCTCCCCGCCCCCTTTCCCCCCGTACCTTTTGTCCAATTTATCCATTGTGCCTCGCGGGTGTAACGCGCGCGCGCGGGTAAATCGAGAGAATGAGAGGAGGAACGGAGGAGGAAGAGAGGAAGGGAAACGCAAGAACCGTCCGTGGCAACAAATTGGCATTACGGCACACGTTACTGGATGTACCGTTACTGTCTCAGTTCCTTTTTCGAATCGTATCGCCGCCTCTCCGCGTTCTCGCGTGCTCACGATCCAGCAGAACCGGACGTTCCTGCTGCTTAGCCTTTCGATGTTCCGTGATTTTTCCCCCCGGGGATTCGGTTTTGTTCCCTTTTCACAACCGGGAAGAATGGATTTGTCGTTTTCCTGCTCTTGCGCCCGTATGGGTGCGCGTACGTGTACGTGTGCGCGTGTGGTCGATCGTATATACGGGGTGTTCTCGAGCATATCGAGAGTATAATTGTATAAGTGTGATCTTAGTTGTTTAACTAATTACGTTGTAACGTAATCTTATAGTATTTTTCAATTCGACCAATTGGCAAATTTTATTTATCCATTTTCTTCGTCGTCGTCGTTCGACGTATTTATTATTATTATTACTTTTTTTTTTTCAAGCTTTTTAAAATCTTATTAGAAAGAGAACCAAGGAAGAAGAAAGCATTGGTTATTTGGTATCGATGAAATGGTATGAATTTAAAATTTCGATCAAGGATTATGATTCTATTCAAACTACGTAAACAAGCACTGTTTTTTAGCACAGACTTCAGATGGAAGATCCATGACGGATAACAGAACAACGATCATTTAATGAATTAACAACGATTCGTATATACAATACGATCTATGAATTGTGTGTACTGTTATCGCGTGTAAACCTGTCTCAAAAGTAAGTATAACACGACCAAGGACGCGGCTCGAAACTGGAACGCTCTTTCCCACCCGTCCGGATCCGTTAGATAGGATAGATAGACCCAATTCTATCGGTTCTATAGAATCAACTCGATTCATATCGCGAGAACAATCATCCCACGACACGGAAGAAGAAGACGTTCGAGATTGCGAACAGTGACTCGCGAAAGTTGATCAATCCTTCTATTCTTCTATTCTTTCCATTCGCGATAAACGAAAGACACAAATGAAATATCGCGAGAGGTTAATGGAATCATTATCGTTAATCGCCGTTGGTTTTTCCTTCTCTTTTCCATTTATTCCCAAAAATTCGTTTTACAATTCGTTTCCCCCTTTTTTATTATTCTTCATCAATCTTCGCAACCCCGACCTAATCTGAAAAGAAAAATCGAAGGAGGAATTTAAGCCAAGGAATCGATTAACCCAAAATTCTCCTCGAGAGAGAGAGAGAGAGAGATACGTGCACTATCGTCTAGCTTCACTTCACGAAGTATTATATACCGGTACATTCATAAATCATACCGAATACACGTAATCAACGTGTACAATCGCGTCAACAATCATGTTTTATTTACTCGTGACACAATCTACGTTCGTTGTTTATTCTATTATTTTGATAGGATGTCGAGTGTTTCATCGTGAGTTAATTAAGACTTCGATTACCTTCGTGTCCGATACAGCCTCTTACAAGTTGTCCAACGTCGTAAATAATACCAATCTATGAAATTACTTACAGTTTAATATTATCCGTTCTTTCAATCGTAGATAGACTCACTTTCGAAAACTGATCGAAAATTTTCAAAGAAACAAAATGACTAAAAAAAAAAAAAAAGATTCCCTTGTTATTTCGATACAATTTTGGTGAAAAAAAAAAAAAAATAAGAAAAATTAAAAATATCAGGACATACTATGATCTTATGGAACATTAAACAATCATGAAAAGAAAATAATCAATTTCCCATTTAACGTGAATTTGAGAAAAAAAAATCACACGTGGATCATCACTTTTTACTTGTAATCTATAAAAATAAAACGAAAAAGAAAATTAGAAAGATCGGATAAAGAGGAATTCAAAGAAACAAAATGTACAAAAAAAAAAAAAATGAAAAATTAGAAATATCAGGGCATATAAATATACCACGACCTTATGGAACATTGAACAATCATGGAAAAGAAAAAAAAAAATCACACGTGGATAATCAGTTTTTATTCGGGAGCGTAATCTCTGTGAAAATAAAAAAAAAAACAAAAAGAAAGAAAAAGAGAGAAAAAAAGGAAACTAGAAAGATCGGATGAAGAGGAATACGGCGTGGCCGTACGTAGGGAACAAACGGTCGAACACGAATCGCATTGGCTGGCAACTTGTAATCGGCCCGGTAGGGAGAGAGTTTGAGTGTATATGGCACTCTGCAGTGGTCACATCGAACGGATTCACCGTTACGTAACCGGCGGCTATCCGCGGGTCAACACACGGCCAGAGGCTTCACCGTTCGAGGAACTTGGGTTTTTCGATTTAAACGAGTGGTCCATACGACGAGACTTGGAGACTTATCGTTTATCGCGAGGGATCGTCGCGGGGGCCTGGTGAAATGACGTGGATGATGTTTCGAACGTCGGAAGAATTTCGTGTGGTTCGAAAATAGATCCGCTCGAATAATTTCAATTGTTGCAAGAGAATTATTGGAAGAGAAAATTCGTATTTAGAAAAATATATTTCAATGACCAACTTATTCGATTACTTGCACCATTATAATTCTCTACGTGTTTCCTGTGCGAGCGAATTACAAAAATAGGTTCATTTTAGGCGACACACTAAGCCAAGATTGATGGCGCGAAAAAATTGTACTCAAAAAAGATTGATAAAAAAGGAAGAGGAGGCGAGCAACACGCTAACCTCAAAACGAACTACACGCATTAATCTTCGACGTTCCTCGCTTCGCTTCTTCCCTTCGAAAAAGAAGAAGAAGAAGAAGAAGACGAAAGAAATAAAAAGCAACCAACCTCCTCCCTTCCTCCCTTAATCCCTTAAATCACACGAGTCACGTTCAAAACGAATGAAAAGTTTTACGCCACGCAACCTCTTATCAGCGTTGCGAGATTACTATTGTTACTCGTGGCCGCGGAAATCCATCCGTGGAATATTAATTTCGCAAAGAAGAAGACGAAGAAGAAACGGGAAGCGGGATGCACCCTCCTCCCCCCCGTTCGTGCGTTCACCGCGATACTATTAGCCGGCGAATTATTGCCGTGACATTCGAAATGGTACGTGAATCCAGCTTGAAAAAAAAAAAAAAAAAAAAAAAAAAAGGAAAAGAAAGAAAGCATACACTCTCGTGAATCTCTGATTGCATTCCAACGGCCATTAGCCGTGCCAATTATAATACGGTTATGCTCGAGTCCGAGTTCCTCGTGCCCGCATTTGTAATGCTTGGGTGTATCATTACGTGGTTACAGTAAAGGCCACGGTGGGTAGGTAAGCAGAGTTCCATTAAAATCCGGTGGAATTTTGAAATAAGAGGGAGGGAGCAATTATTATTACGCGGAATCGGGCGTGCGAGCGATGAGATTTCGAACGAGTGATCCCTGTTCAAAGGGAGAGATCGAGAAAGTGTGTGAAAAACGTGGTTGAGAGACGAGGAGGGATTGTGTTTAAATAAAAAATATATATATATATATATTTCTCACTTAACTTATATTATTGAATTGAAATTCAATTGGATTTCTTTAAATAGAGTAATTCTTCTAATTTTTATCACTTTAGAAGGATTAATTTAAAAACGAGTGATATCATTTTGAATTTAATCGATCATCTTTAGAATGATTAAATTCATTTCCATCTTTAGAACATTCCCTCATATATATATATATATATATTGAAATTCCTTTATTAACCAAAAATTTGAATTTTAAATTTCAATTCTTTTAAAATTTTAATGTGGCAGAATAAGCGCATTGAATTCAGATATACGTATAAGAAGATAATTTATGTCGAAGATAATCTTTCTCTAATGATCGACCAATGGATTGTTCCTCGATATATCGAACACTTCTCGAGCTTAAAAAGCGGTCGCGGAGTTCGAAATAATTAAAGGCAATTTAGTTTTTAACCGGATCATTAGTTTGATTTAATAGCGATTAGTAGCCGGAACGTGGAACGAGACATGCGAGTTTCGGAGGGGGAGGGAGGGATAAAATTACACTATGAAACACGATCAAAATGGATAATACCGGAATGTAATTATTTTACAAAAGAATGTGTCATACGTGTACGCGTAGCTTTATAATTATAGAATGAGTTAGTGGCCTATTTAATTAAGGGAGGAAGCCTGGGGGAGCGCTATATTCAATTTCGCAAAAACTCTTGAATATCAATTTTTTAGCGTTTATAAACCTATTAACGTAATGAAATTTATCGTCGATTAATTCGACTTCTTAGTTTATATATATATATATATACGTACATATATTCCATAAAAATTCATAAAGATCAATCTAAAATTACGCACGCACACGCGTACGAGGAGAAATTCGTAAAAACTAAAAAAAAAAAAAGAAAGAAAGAAAAAAAAATTATACTTGCATAAAACGAGATAAAACGATGAAAAACCATGTTTTATGGTATCCCTCGGGGATATAATTTTATGAATTCACTCACCGTCTTCTCGACCCTCCGCGTCCTTGGCCTGGATAAGGATCATTCTGGAGTAATTCAATTTTTCCAGCAAGTTCACCATCGTGGCCAGCCTGCTCCACGCGTCCCCGGGTGGGCTGCAACAACACACAACAACACCGTGTTTTTTTTTTTTTCCCCGTAAATAAGAAACGAATCGAATTCCCACCACAGATAGATGTCCAGATATATGAATCGCGTAACCAGAAACCGGAAGGATGGTACTTTCATCTCGCGATAAATATTCCAACCTGTGTGATTCATTAACCTGTCGCGACTACGAGCCGACGAATTACGAGCGCGTAACAACTGCAACAAAGCTCTCTGTGTATCAAATTTTCGACTCGAACTGTGTTCAATCGTGCGCATTTTCTTTCATATTCGCCAAATCCTGTTTCTTTCGTAAGGAGAAGAAATTGGAAATTTTAAAAGTTACACAAATCTTGATCGAAATCTTGATTAATTTAATTTGATCTCTCGCTCATCGTTCGATCCAAAATCTTCGCCTCGAGAAAATCGTCGTATCGATATTCAAAAATGAGGGGGGGGGGGGGCGGAGACGATTCGTTCAAAATTAATAGCGAGATCAGAGTTTCACGGTTCTCGCGTTGATCGAAGACATCGGTTATCATCGGGTGACATCGGTTAAATATACGAGGTATCGGGCGAGCGCGTAACCCATCGGGAACCCACTTCCGTGTTACTGTAAATCCAAAGTCGTCCGTTTAATTATTTCCACCGCGATGAATGGCACCGCGCGGGGGATCATTTTCCAAGCTATCGATCATTCGATGTTATCGTGCTCGAGACCCGTAGGCGGCGATAAAGAAACGCTCGACCCGGCAGAAGAGAAGGAAGGAGGATGAGGAGGAAGAAGCAGAAGCAGCAGAAGAAGAAGAAGAAGCAGAAGAAGGAGCGGATGGAAAAGAAACGCGCACGAGTCGAGTTGGGATTAATCGATTGCCGTCATGAAAGGTCATTCGTTAATTGCGCTCTCCCCGCTCGTCCCGCGCACACGTTCTCCCCATTCGTGCGTCCAATCGGCCAACCTCTTTATCGTTAAATTATTATCGACCGCTTCTGCGGAGGCTTTATTGAAAATTAACGCGGCCTTTCCTCGTGAAAAATGCTCGTGAATTACGAAAGACGTGGCCGGCCAAGTGAATAGGGGGCTTCGCCTGAGGATGAGTATGGATCGAGTGTCGGGAGGGGAGTAACGAGTGGTCATCCGGATAGGTGGCGGCACTTGGACGGACGTTGAATAAAACACGGACGCGCAAAGCGAGGAAGGAAAATTTTTTATCATACCAAGATCGCGCCCATGTTAATTGATCCTCGACGTTCCTCGTCGTTTTCTTCTTCCCAAACGTTCCATCCGTCGGAAAAATCCGCGCACAATCGGAGTTTCGAACTCTAAGACCATCTGCCATGACAGACGCCGATAGAGCAAGAATAGAGAGGCTCGTTCCAAAGAAGGGAATAGAGTGGACATGGGAGAGAGAGAGGAAAAAAAAGAGGGTGACAGTGATTGATCTCGCAATTACACGGTCACAGGCACGCGCTGTGGGAAGATCAAAGTTGCTTTATCCTCTATCTTGTGGTGAATGGAGGTGAAAAGAGGAAGGAAGAAAAAGAGGTAGGGAAAAATGAGAAAGAAGAAAAACAGGAAGAGGAAGGAAGGGGGAGGAGGATGGGAAAAAAAGAGTGGCAAGGGACGATACTCGAGCAAGTAGATTAATTACGATCCGTGTTCTATAAATATAGAATAACGAATCCACGGTATTCAACAAGAGAAGAAAAGGAGAAGCGTCCTTGCCAAGGAAACGTTTCGCTCGCATAATTGTTAAATCGCTAACGAGCAACAATAATTAACTTATCCAGCCTCGTATAGTATAGAGTGGTTGATTTAAGTATGGTTGGCTGGTTGCGCAAAGAGGCTTGGATCGCGAGCGTTCGCGCAGTTACGGGACCAAAGGGGCCTTGAAACTCGTTTAATGGACGATAGATCGCATCAGTCGGCCAACCACGACTGTTTTCTCTCTTTTCGACCGGCTATTTCTCTCTCTCTCTCTCTCTCTCTCTCTCTCTCTCTTTCTCTCTCTCGTCTCGTTAGAAAGATCCTGAGGATCGATACATTCCCCCGGTTCCCCAACTCGATCCTGAATAAAAACCCTTGTCTCCGATCGCGCTCGAATCATCCACGAAAAGACGTCGTTCCGCGCACCGTTGAAAGGCCCTCTTTTAACTTTTTCTTATCTTATCCCGCGACCGAGCTGTAAACGTGATTAATCAGAACGTGGATAAATTTTGAGTTGGATAAAGATCGAACAGCGACATAAATAAGACTTTTTAATCTTCAGATTAATGTCTCCCGTTCACGGATTTAAATATCGTTGCTTTAACTTTTGTTTAGAATTTTTCCATTTGAATTTTTCTGATACAAAAAGAAACGAAGGATTTTAGAAATTATATATATATACGAGGATCAAAACGAAAGCGAGAAATTAAGAATTGATGAGACATCTAGCGACGAAAAAAAGAAGTACGTTTAATAAATTCTAAATTCTGAAAAAATTAATATTCTCTAACTTCAAATATGTTAAAAATTAGAATCACGAGATATGTATCCAACTGCTACTACTTAAAAACATCGAAACGAATCACATGCATAACTCTCAATTCTCCGTTTTCAATCGTCGTGATCGTTTGAACAACGAGAATCGATCCTCGGCCAGCGATTCCATGGCTCCTTTGTCAATCATCGGATAAGAAAGAAACATAAGAAGATAATTACACGTTGATCGCCCTTTCTTCGAACCGTGTTTTGCATTGCCATCGGTGGGTGGCGTGGTTTTATTTCGATGAGTCGCTCCCACGCAACAGTGTGTGGAACAGGTTCGCTCGGCAAGAGAGTTCGATAGATGTTGCCCAGTCGAGTACAAGTCCAATTTTAATTATGAGAATCGATGAATTTGTAATTTAAACATTTCTTCATTACAGATGAAAATTTTTAAACATTTGAAATCTTGAAATTTTCAATTTGAAACTTTGAAGTTTCAGAATTTTTGAACCTGGGAAAGTTTTAAAACTTTAAAACTTTTTCGAGGTTTAAAATATGAAGATCTTAGAATCTTGAAAAAGTCTTGAACACTTGAAGTTTTGAAATTTTGAGATATTTAAATGTTGCAATTTTTAAAAGCCAACAAAATATTCCTTCCCCATCGAGAATAACGTTCAACGTTTAAACCGCGTCCACAACAAGAATTTCGAAATGGTAATTCTCTTTGGTTGCAGTTGACATTTTCGCGCAAACGGAATCATCATTAATTACGCCCAACCACCGTCGTACGCGGAAGATCGAGCATCCCAGAAGACAAGGGCCCGCGATGATAAGTTCGTTCGAACAATTAAGCGGTTTTCAGCGAAATTTCCCGTGCTGTCGCATCGCGATAAATCACGAGCACATGCCACGAAGATGTTGATCGTCGCGCGTGATGTCTCTAGCATCCTTTACCCTAGCTCCGGGAAATTGATGCACCATGAAGAAAATTAATCGTCCAACACAACAGTCATAATTCAAAACACCTGAGATGTCAACATAGATTAATAGTCGCGCCCGCCACAGCCACGAATAATTTCTCCGTCTTTCTATTCTTCCTTATAACCGACACCACTGCTTCAAAGATAAATCGATTTGACAAAAGCAATGTGTATATAAATCGATACAAGAATGGATATTCTTCGAATTAGACACTGTCCAATTATGATTGGATACAATAAAATTAGGTTAGGTTATATTGGATTTTTCATTAATTTGAGAAGATTTGTTTGATTCGAAAAATCGAAAATCAACGTATTATTGGAATCATTAGATTTCATTTATACAAGAAATTTGGAAAAGATTCAACAGAATATAATATACTCCTTGTTTATAAATTATAATATATCTAGAGTAATGAATTGTAATATTTAGAGTTATTAATCGATATTTAAAAAACGTTATCAAATTGGATAGATTTCATCTTCACACATTTTAATATCTTCTCTTTTCAAATTATTTCAAAATCAATTGGAAATGAAAAGTGTTTAAAAATGATGAATAAATAAAGGATTACCTATTACCAGCAATGAATAATTTGTGGCCGTGGCGTAATCTGCTGGCGAGCGTATGCATCGCTCGCTTACCGACGGGACCCTCCCCTCTTTCTCTTTCTCTCTCTCTCTCGAAAAGAAAAGATTCACAGTAAGTAACCACAAAACCGCAGGATCATCACCGAGTTTGAAGCATATATACCCATACGCTTTCTGCAACCAGCTGATCCTAAATACATCCAACCATGCTTAGGAAAATTTGTTTTCCTCGCTGACATTTAATGGTAGCATGGTTGCTCGATGTTGTTTAACCAAAATATTTCGATTGAACAACGATTAAAACGATTTTCGATCGTAAATTTTCAAAGTTAGTAGTTTCCCACAGATGGTTCGTTTAAATTGGAAGAAAATATTAAATTTAAATGCACAATTAAATGCATGTATCATCGTCAATACAGAACGTCAAATAGAAAAAATTGTACAAAAAATGTGTACAACTGAATAACTCAAACGTTATCGAGAAAAATAGATAAGCAATGTTAATATGCATATTTAGACACAAAAGAAAAAAAAATACTAACAAAAAATATAAAATTTATCAAACGACTCACCCGACTCTGTAGTCCGTGCAAGATGGCGGCGGATTCCAGACGGTACTATGACAGAGCATCCAATCGCACCAGATCTAGAATAAAATGATTCAACATTAGCTACATACCTATATGAATATGAGAAACTGTTTCTATTTATAGAACGTCTATTTAACCTTATCCATCCTTTAGAAAGTGAATCGTACGCCAACAGTCGTGTACTTTGCGTCCACTTTATCGGTAATATTAATGGTCTCTACGCGAGACAAGAGCGGAATCGTTGTCATTACTCCCGTGTTACGATAGCAATCAGAAGAATTCTTCCGAAGGAGGATTCATTCTCAATTATACGATTACCTTAACGATGAATATTTTATTTATCGCGCGTCACAATTAAATTACCATAGAAAATATAAAACACTTTTCTCAATTCATTTCATTAAACGACACTCAATTTCGAAATTAACCAAACCTCTAATTACTCTTCGCCCAAATTCGATCCCACACAACGTGAAAAAAGAATCATTTCCAAACGTATCGAGCAAACACCCTATATTCGTCTGCGTGCGCATCCTTGAAGGTTGCACCAGCTCTCTCGAGGAACCAGGAAGAAAGCAAGCGGTGTGGTTGGTCACCGATGGTTCCAATGGGTTGTCATACGGGCTGACCTTTATCGATGGAGCGTGCGTGCATGGCTTACGTGCGATAGGTGCATTAATCGCGAACGGCGGGTTGCATAATAAGTCGGGACACGAACGAACCGAGAGCTTGACAACGGCCACCGGCGGTACTCGCGTGGGTGCGAACCAACCGCCTTCATAAATTCTCGGCTGCTTCGAGGCGCGACTCGTGTGTTCCATTCGAGGTTCGGATTATGGCGATGACAAGAGCCGGGCTACGATCCATCGAAAAATTCGTGCACACGCTCGACGACGGAAGCTCGGAGAGGATCGTGTTCTCGGCCCGAGTCTCGAGCGTGTCGATTAAAAACTCGTAATGAATTATGATGGATCGTGTTCAGAGGATGATTTATACATACAGGCGCATAGTATATACGCGTTTGGTTGTCGCTATGCAATTCTGGTAGTCTGGTTTTTAAAGTTGCTTGATTTTTAATCAATCTTTAATGTTAAAGTTCCAAGTTAAAGTAACAAATGAAAAATTTTTAATCCAAGTAAGAATCCATCGTTAACGAGCGCTTCGATCGTTAATTAATTCACAATTGTCGATGCTGATCGATAGTTGAGCAATATTGTCGAGTATTTTTAGAATCACGACGGGGTTGATTCACGACGATCGTTCCTCGGATTTTTCTCGATCGGAGAATAACGCTTGTGCGAAAGAATCGCATAAATTACGGGCTATATTTATAGAGGCGAATAGCCATTAAACTTTCATACACGAATCATCGCAACGCTCTTTCTCCCATCCTCCTTCCTCCCTCTCATTCTAAAAATCATCCAAGCCTAAGAAGAGAGATTAAAATCTGCGGGCAATTAGAATGACGCGCGATTTTACCCCGGCACGGTGAAAGTTTCTTGGAAAAAGAGATCTTGATAGGGGCGGGCATTAGATATGCCAGAGATAACGGAAATACCTTGATAGCTGGTAAAAGGACTTGCATGTCCTCGCTAACAACCATCCTTGGCTCCTCGCCGCTGTCCAACTGAGACTTGAGCAAGGACACGCCACGTTCTAAAATCAGATTGAACATCTGTAAGGATACGACCAGTGCCCTTTCTTGGACCTCAGACCGGTACCCTTGCTCCATTTGGGAATCTGAAACAAGCAAACGTAAGGATAGCACCGTTAGCTAAAGTTTCAACAAAGGCTTACTGGCTTAATGGCTAATAGTTGATACAGCAAATTTACCAATATTAATTTTATTAATCGAATCTGTCCAGGAAAATACATTTTCTCACCGATTCTTTTTTTTATTCATCCTCGGAACAAAGGGATGAAAACTTATACAAACTCCTCATAAAATCCTCTAAAACATCCTCGTTCGATTGATTAAAGTTGAAAGTAAGGAGCACGTATTATATTTTGGTGTTCGCCGGGGAGGGAAAAAAGAGAAGCGGAGATATAAGCGGCGATCGAATTGAAAATTGAATTTGCCGAGGGGAGTGGAAACGGGTGAGGTGCGCGCCCCTCCTCTCTCGTAAATGGGAATCCACCGCGAAACATATTCCTCGTATGGCGTCTGGCAGTTTAATTTATCGCGTACGAGGATAATAATTAGCGTTTTAACCGCGAGCACCGCGTCTCCCAACCGCGTGTGGTCTTCTTCTTCTTCTTCTTCTTCTTACACGCGCCTATTGGGGGGTTGGAGTGGAAAAGGTAATTACTTGGCGAGGAAGATTTATAGAAAGGCCTTTTACTAATTGCCAATACGATCATTAGCGAGAATTAGCGTTTCGTTACGTACGACCACCCCTTTTCTTCCACCCCTTTCTCGACAAGCAACGCTGTGGCATCATCTGAGGTACCTGTTGTTGCACGTACACTTGTCACTCGAGGAGGTAACCAGTTATCAGTAGTTATACGTTCGATCGGCTTAATTAAGGATTAATTGCCGAGGCTGACCTTTAATCGCGAATTAACCCCGAGTTAAGAAGGCGAGAATGGGCAGAGTGGTTTTTCTCGGATCGAGGATAATTTTAGATCTATCTCCTATCCGCTTTTATCGAAATAATTGCTTACAACCAATCTTTCTAGACTAATATTTTTGATATTTTGATTGCTTGGCTGTTCATAAAATGAATACAAATTTTGAATGCAAACTCTGAATCGAAACAAATCTCCCAGTCGACCAGTTATAAAACGCCAATTACTTCCTTCTTGGAGATTAAAAATTTTGTCGAAACGAGAAATGGATCTCAAAACGATACATCAGAGACATCGTGTTAAATGCGTACGCTGGGAAGCTAATACTTTTTCGTGCAATCAAATGCATTACAAAGTGTAATATTACAATATGCTGATACAATAATCACAATTATCTGGCTTACAGAAACGAGTTTAAGAGAGTTGACTGACGAAATAAACTGTCGTTTCGCCACCACTCAAAGAATTAAATCAAAAACACTAATCGAATTTCCTCTCTTCTTCCCCTTACCTCGCTTGTCATCCTTCAAAAAAAGAGTTCTCGAGATACGAAGATCAGAACTCTCTCCGGCAATTAACCCTGTCGCGAGACATAGCTTTCATTATCGTTTTCCTCGCGATCCTCCCTGCTGGAAAACTCGACAAGTATCAGTGGCGGAAGTTGCAACAGTTTGCAGAGGGTAATTCGATTGGTGCTCGGAACAAGGGGGCAACGAAAAGGGTAATGTCTCTCCTTTTTCCTTCGAACGGTAACGAACGGCAGAGCGTGGAAACAGACAGCGTGTCCCGTTTAACGAAGTCGAGGCGAGGTCAGCCTTTCTGTCTCCGGGACCCCCGATATTAACGCGATTACCACGTGAAAATGGGGGAGGAGGGGCGAATCGAGTTAGCCCAGCTGCGCGGATAATTCCATTAGCATCGATTCAGGCGGCGGCGGTGGACTTGATTCGCCGTATTTCGCTCCCCTCTCATCGTAAGTCCAATAATGAATTTTCGCGAGACGTTTGATTCGCCGAGAAATTCGACCTCTCCGTTGACAAGTTGATAGAGATATGTGTGACGAGGGTGGAAGATGGAGAAGGTATTGGAAGGTAGCGGAGAAAGATTGGATCTTCGGTTCCGTCGTGGATGGGATGGAGGATTGTTTGTCAACCGTGATATTCCGTGAAAGGGATACACGTACGATGCGATGGAAATAATCGATATTCTTTGTGCAACGCGAGATATCTCGCGTCACAATATCGTTCGTGTAATGCAATGGACGAAACAAACTACGATGTAATATCGTTCGTACGATGCCACAAGTGAGATATTTCGCGTCACAATATTGTTCGTGCAACGCAATGAACGAATTTTCCACGATGAAATATCGTTCGTGCAATGCCACAGACGAAATATTCTGCGACACAATATTCTTTGTACGACGCGACACAGATATTCCACGACACCAATATATATTTTGTGCAATTCCACAAATGAAATATTTCGCATCGCAATATTGTTCGTGCAACGCAATGGACGAATTTTCCGCGATGAAATATCGTTCGTCACAAATCAGATATTCCGCGACACAATATTTTTCGTACAATGCCACCAATGTCATATTTCGCGTCACAATATTGTTCGTGCAACGCAATGGACGAATTTTCCGCGATGAAATATCGTTCGTGCAATGCCACAGACGAAATATTCTACGACACAATATTCTTTGTACGACGCGACACAGATATTCCGCGACACAATATACTTTGTACGACGCCAAAAATGAGATATTTCGCGTCACAATATTATTCATACAACGGAATGGACGAAACAATCTACGATGTAATACCGTTTGTACGATGCCACAGACGAAATATTCCGCGATACAATATCCTTTGTACGACGCCAAAAATGAGATATTTCGCGTCACAATATTATTCGTGCAATGCAATGAACGAAACAATCTACGACGTAATATCGTTCGTCACAAATCAGATATTCCTTTGTACGACGCCACAGATATTCCGCGACACAATATATTTTGTGCAATTCCACAAATGAGATATTTCGCGATACAATATCCTTTGTACAACGCCACAGACGAAATATTTCGCGACACAATATGCTTTATGCAACGTCACAGATATTCCGTGATACAATATCCTTCGTACAATGTCACAGAATATTTCGCAACACAATATTCTTTACGCAATGGACGAAATATTTCGTGATATAATATCGTTCGTGGAAGGCCACAAACGAGATATCTCGCGATAAAATATCGTTTATACAACTCCAAAAATAAGATATTTCATTATAATATCATTCGTGCGATATTATATCACAAAATAGACAAGATATTTCGCGACAAAGTATCGTTCGAGTAACACCACGCACGAGGTATCTTGCAAGACTGAATGTTATTCATCGAATAGAACGATAGGACTAATATCGACTCTATAAACAAATACCGTGTCACACAATATTTCGCCTCTGGCATTGTATACGAATTTTGTTTATATCGTAGAATATCTCTTTGTTAATAAATGTGTATTCTGTATCGATAGTCTTTCTTTTTTTATAAAATATATATATATATTAATCGTTCGTAACAATTAGACATAAAAAAATTATTAAAAATTTCATCACAATACATTCGTGTATAATAATCATACAACATTTATGAGCTCAAGATTCATCACTGCAACATTCTAAAAATCCCTAATCTAATTAACAAAGCATCGTTTCACAAAGCAAGACAACACACGAAGGATATCGAAAAATTGATTGAAACGTTTCCTCATCTTTTGAAAAGATATAAAATTCATTACGTTCATTACGTACCCTGCAATTTTATCGAAGATAGTCTCTTTCAAAAAAAAAAAAGAGAAAAGAAAAAAGAACAAGAGCCACAGGTAATAAAATCACGCAAGGTTAACACCGCTCTTACACCTGACAACGAGAACGAGAACGAGAGGGATTCATCGAATAAATCATGCCTGTTGATTCGAGGACGTAGGAGAGCGGAGGGACAGAGCCGTGACAGCGATCGGCAAGGGTCGTTCGTGCGTGAAAATCCGACGAAGGCCGTGACGAAATTCATCGTATGCCCGCGTTACACATAGGTGTGAACAAGGCTTTACACCAGACCAGCGGCTAGTTTGCTGGATTTATGATTTAACGCTCGTCCCTCCGGAGAATATCGCAACGCGAAGAGAGACTACTACGATCTCACGGACAGACACTCGTTACGATGATAATTATTATCGTCGGTCAAAACGATCCTTTCACGAATTTTAACGATTTCAACTTACGAGGCGCGTAAATGTAAAATTGCGATTACGAAAAATGGTGGTGGATTCGATGAGAAAATTTGGAAATAAGTTTATCCAGATCCGTTGAAGCGTGAATTGAAAAATTTGCAAATCTCACGAGCTCGATTGGTTTGCGGTTTCGAGAGAGATATTTTATTCCTGCTGCAGGGTGCACGATGATGGCGTGATCGTATTTTTTTTTTATTCGTAGCTATTATTTTTTTCGTCGCGATATATTTCCTGGAAATATCGATCATCCGAGATAAAAGGAGGAGAGAATGGGAGTACGGGATCACTGGATATTTATCGCGTTCCATCTTGGAACCGTGACAAAGATGTACAATGTTGCAAGCGCGGATTGATCGAGCGGAACGTCGATCGAGGAACGGACGCGTTTCACTCATTCGATCGTCTACGATCTCCTGGAGCGGGTACGCGTCCATCTCGATGCTCAGAATAATTGGACGTCGGTGAATTTTACACGCCGGTGACACGTGATATGCACAAATCTCCAAGATGATTCCAAGATTCCAACAAATATTAAGAGAAAATTCTATATTTATATCACTCTCATTACCAACGAAAACGTCCTCTTGAACGATCCCTAATTTCATTCGCTCGTACACCTTTGATATATATATCCAAGGAAAAAGAACGAAAAGCGATAATTTTTACTCGAAAGAAAAAAAACTCGACCAAGCGATCGACTAACCGAAAGTTCTCACGCAATCTCACGCAAGTTCATCATCCTCGACGAACGAACCCTTCAATCAACCTCAACCTCCGGTTTATCGTGAAAATTGATGATTTCTGCCTGTCCGCCTAAGCTGACGAGCAACGTAACGAGAGGGCATCAATCGGGTGGAGCAGGAGGAG